AGCATATTGTTAGATTTTGCTTCTTAATCCATTCTGTCAGTCTACTTCTTTTGATTGGTGAATTGAGGCCATTAACATTGATGGTTATAATTGATAGATATTGACTCATCCTTGTCATGATGTTTTACTGTTGTTGGCTCTTTTAGTTCTTGTTTTTTCCCCTTTCCCTTTAGTGTCTTACCTTGCCTGATGGCTTCCCTCTCTTGGGCCTCATGGAGTTGTGAACTTCATTGTCTTTTTCTGGGATATTGTTTAGAGTTGTTTGGAGTGCTGGTTTGGTGTTCATGAAATTTCTCAGGTGTTCTTTGTCGTGGAAGTATCTAATTTCCCCATCGATTCTGAAAGATAATTTTGCAGATTACAACAGTCTAGGTTGGAAGTCATTTTCTTTCAGGGCTTGAAATACTTCGCTCCAGGCTCTCCTTGAGTTGAGGGTTTGTGTTGAGAAGTCTGCCGTGATTCTGATGGGCTTTTCTTTGTAGGTGATTTGTTTCTTTTCTCTAACTTCTTGTAGGATTTTGTTTTTCTGTTGGATTTCTGGGATCTTGACTATTACATGTCTAGGTGTAGATTTTTTTTTTTATTGTGGCTAGTTGGAGTTCTATATGCCAGGTACCTCTCAGCCCTTGAAGCTAGGCTCATTGCCAGTGGGCATGTCGAGTGCTCCTCAGTAAATATATTTAGTTCTAACCATTTGTAATGGTTTTTAAATGAGTCATTTTACAAATTATGTCATGTCACATGCAGACAGATATAATTTTACTTCTTTTTTAATTTGGACATCCTTTATTCTTTTTTCTTGCATAATTCCCCTGAGAAAATCATCCAGCATTACCTTCATTAAGAGCAATGAGAATAACCATTGCTACCTTGTTCCTAATCTTAAATTGAGATTATTTCGTGAATATTAGTGAACATTTCATTAAGAGTTAGGAGCAGTTTGAAGAACAATTGAAAAGTCACATTCCAACATAGGAAGAATTACCACATATGTATCTTTGAGGAAGTTCTAAAGATGTACTAGGTGAAACAGAAATAATGTTCTAAACAAATTGAGAATAAGAATCAATGAGGGCAATGGTAAAACTGGAAGCTCCAGAGAAATCATTTAATTACTGTGTTAGTTACTTTTCTCTTGTTGCTGAGACAAAATACCTGACACCCAAAGTTGGAAGGGAAGAGGTTTATTTGGCTTATAGTTTCATACAGATTTCAGTCCATAATTGGTGGGCTTCAAGGCTAGGATTGCAAATAGGCATCACAGAAGAGAAACAACATGGCAGGCACAGGTAACAAAGCTAACAGACACTTAACAGCATCTCCCTGCCCCTCTTATCTTATTCAGACTACTTAGGGGGTAGTGCTCACACCCTTAATCCTTGTGCCCTTGACCCTAGCATGGCATTATGAATCAATTCCAGCTTCATACACTCTAGATCAAGCCTATGACAACATGAGGCTTTGGGGGGACATCTAGACCCAAACCATAACAATTAGCTATAAGCAGCCTTAATTTTTCTGACTAAAAATTCTGAAACATGGCTTCAGATTTATTCCAATGATTTTTACTTTCTCTCATGCCTTTTCTGAGACTAGAAAACCAGGACAAGGGAGATGAGAAGAAATTGGAGAAAATGATAAAAAATATTCAGAAAGAGGGAAAAAAAGAAAGAAAGTATAAATTAGAGAGAAAGAAGAAGACAGGTTTAACTGATTTCAAAATTGTGTTCTATGCCTCATAGAGTTTCAGTATTGCACGTTGCCCTAGAAGCCCTAGAGATTTGTTGCGCAATAATGTGGAGATACTTAATACTACTGAACTGTATACAGAACTTAAAAATGGCTAAGATAGTAAATTTAGTGTTCTGTGATTTACTACAATAAAAAACTGTGGGCCGTACCTCATGTTAACAGAGCACAATGGGCCAGTTGGGTCTGCAAGGTGAAAAGAAAAGGGCTGGGGAGGTGAAGGAAGCAGATGGAAAGAGGACAGAGTGGCCATTGTATCCCCCTCCTATTTCTCTTTCTGTCAGCCACAGTCTCACTGGAGAAGTTTTACATATCCACAACCATGTCCAAGGTTTATAGAATTTTAATTTCTTTTAATTGTGCTTATTCTAAAGGAGGATTAAACAAAGCATTCAATGAGGTACTCTTTCTTCCAGAGATCTTTCTTACAAGTAATCATCAATCACTTTTCAAGTTGTGTGTTCTGATTTCTTTGTTAGGGAAATGGGGTCTCTGATCCTGATAATTCTTTTAGGCTGTCCTTGGCCCAGATGAGCCTCTTATTTCTTGCTGAAGCTACTTTCCCTTTTCCCCTGTCCTCCAGACTTACCTGATCACTGGGGCACTAAAAGTGCTGGCAGTGCTGTGGGGGAGAAAAGCCTAGATGTTTCTGTCTGTGTCTGGCAAAGGGACAGCTAGCAGGGCACTGATGTCAGCAGCTCTGCTAATTCCCTGCTGAAAATTTCAAGGTGAGCTCTCTGCACCACCCCGCATCTCCTTGTATTCCTGTTTACACAAGCATAAAAGGGAGTCGGCTTATTTTTGTTTTCTTCTCAAATATGGAGGTGGGGGGGGCTTAAAAGAATAGATATCCTTTGTACAGACACATGGATCTCCTCAGCACAAACTCTCCACGATCTGTAGCTTTCTGCTCTTCAGCCAGGGTGCCTTGTTGCTTGGTGCCAGATTTACATTTGACTCCAGAGTGGAGGACCACACTGGAGGATGACTAGTGACTAGAGAAGCACTCTCACTAAGGACAAGAATTATCAGTCTGGCACTCTTCTAGAATTTTAAATGAGCATTCCATTTTTGTGGCCTATTGTTTTTTAACTAGTAGAACTAAATTTTAAAGGGCCACTCCTTGTGTGAAAAAGGTCAGAATCAATGATGATGGATAGAAAATAACTCAATCTAGCAATGTTTCAACATTTAATTAAAATGCCTCAGCATTCCTGGAGATGCTCACCCTCGGTGAGTAAAGGCGCTTTCATTCTTTCTGTGGGCTGAGTCAGAGTCTGTTTAATGTTCTCCACAGCCTGTTGGTTCTTCTGATCCACAGTTTGTGTCAGGAGGAACAGTGCCCACACAGTGACTCAGTCTGAGACTACATCTCCAACTTGGAAGGCTCCTGTGTAGGTGAGGTTCAGCTACTAGAATTCTGGCAGTCCTGTGCTCTTTGGGTATATCCAGCACCCCAGCTTCTGCTGAGACACACCAGGGGAGCTAGCACAAAGGTTTCTTGGCTCCCCTCGAAGGGGGCCAGGCCTCAATCCACCTGAGGAAGCCCTTGACTTCAGAGGACAATCAGCAGCATGGGCTCTGTGCCACAGAGGGGCACTATTCTTGAGTTTACCTTTTAAATATAAATGTTGTCAATGCCAGTTAGCTTCACATTGACTTCAACAATACGTCCAAAATAATTTTGATTATGTACTCTGCTTTAATCATTTTAAAAACATGTGCATTTCTAGAAGTACCCAGAAAGGAAGTTTTGTAGTAAAAACCATATAGCACAGAATCAAAAGGCATTGGTTTCTACAGCAGAGGACTTTCCAGGCTCATATGGTGCAGTCCCACCTCTCCAACTTCTCTCATTCCCCAGCATCCCCAGATGTGCCTATCACCATATCCCCAAGCTGAGGATTTATCCAATTCTGTGCTGATTCATAGCTGTAATCACTGTAATCGGTGGTCTCTCTGCACCTACTTTCTGCTCAGCATTTCACAGATCTGACCACCTCAGTGAGGGTCCCCCTGCCAGGGAATAAGACAGCAGTCATTTGAACAAGGAAAGCTCAATGTGAAAATTATTAGGTAATAAAAGATTAGCTACTGTTTTAACTATTATTTACTAATGGGTAAAAGGAACTCTAGAGAACACAGGATAGAATGTGTAAGGACCAGGGCAGAGCCCAAGGGAGAAGAAGCACACTAGACTAAGCACACCTGTCAGGGCTATGATTAGGGCCTCAGAAAAATTCCAGCAAGCAAGAAAACACTTAAAAGGATTCCAATACTGTTTATAGGAATGCCACAAAAGAATGCTGCTGAATTTCTGTGGGTGCTTATGAAAATTTGCGAAGAAATCACCTGTGGGGATTCACTGCACTTGCTGGAGGGGGGTGTGTGTGGGTTCCTGGATGGCCCTGTGTGTCCCAAGCTGCCCAAATCCCACAAGATTAGCAGAGAAGGAATCACACTAGCCCTGAATGGGGATCTTCTTCCTCCCACTGTGTCCTTCCAGCCATGGCTACTGACAAAATAACCCCTGGGGAGCCTTAACTGACCATGAGAAATACACATAGAGATTAACTTTGATTAACAAAGATCTTACTTTGACTTGGTCTTAAACACCCAACAGAAAAGTATAACCAAAAAGTGGCAATGTAGAGAATAATAGTAATGGAAAACAAACAGCTAAGCTAGATATAAAAAGAGGCCTCAAATACCGCACCGGCCCCTACTACTGGCTCTCCCAAATGTGTCCTTTGGCCTCTCAATATACTCACATTATGTTATTTTAAATGTACTTTCAAGTATCTGTCAGGTAAAGTTTTAGTTTGTATAGTGTGCCTATAAAACAAAAATGGGAATATGAATATTCCAGCTACTGAGCTTTGTTACCTTTCTGGTACAAACTAACTCTGTTGTCTTCCCCCCAGAGTTTGTGTCTGTATTATCTAGAGCCAGTTACTTAGAAAAGTCTTCTGCAACACAGAACCTAGGTACAGGTTCTAAGCCTATAGTAAAAAAAAAATGGCCCAATGACCATGAAAACATGGATATCTTTATTCATTGTATTCATTTGCCATAGTTATAATTAAAATAGGAGAACATGAAAATTCCATTAACAAAACAAGGAGAAATCTATATATTCTTAAAGGTCACATTTTATTTAAATAAACACCTCAGAATGGAGGTCAGTATTAAAGATAAAAGGCTTACACTAAATGCTACTAACTTCTACCATTTTTTAATCACTATGAATCAATATTGTAATTCTAATTTCTGGCTTCTGTTTGTTTAACATGATTATAAAATGAAGCTTAAGTGTCAATAACTTCTTAGTGTTCTTGTACTCTTCCAGACTATAAAAGGAGAGTGGTTCATCAAACAACAAAACCCACCTTTCTCTCTTTTAGATCAGTCAGGTGAGAGTTTTGATCCCTGAGGAGGCAAGATCAATGTCCCTCCCCTGAAACAGTTATCAAAGACAGACCATGAGGCCTTCTAAACCACTTAAAAATAAAATTTTTGGAGGAAAGGAATGAGGTAGGACAGAAAAATTAAAAATAGCCAAAAAGGAGATAAGAAAAATTATAATTTTAGAATTTAAAAACCGCACTTTCAAGATACAAGCCCAACTTTTTTCCCCCTCTCTTCTCCAAACATGGGCAATTCTCTTTTACCTGTAAATGGTTTCAACCATTCCTTTTTTTTGCAAATAGTCTTTTTCACTTGTGAATAGACCACCTCTTTTTGCCTACAGAATAACTTTCCTCTATGAATAGACCATTAATTTTCTGTGAATGTGCTATCCTCCATTACCCACTAAACAAGACTGAAACTATGGATTGTCAAATTTTAGATTTTCACTGCCAAACACACATAACTATTCCCAGCTCCAAACTGAAATGTGTCCTCTCTCTTAAAGACCCACATTCTACTTCTTTATGTGTGTGCCTTTTAATTTCTGCCCAATTTCCTGTGCCTATAAATTCTTTTTCTGTGACAGGAGTCAGCAAACCTCCAAAGTTATTGCATAAGAAAGGTGGGTTAGGTTCTTTATCTCAGCTTCAGAGATCCCCTCAGACCCTCTCTGGTGACAGTTCTATAAGATGTCACCAATGGACTAAGCTAGTGAGGAGGGTAGTGGGCTGTATGAACTATTTTAGCAACTTCCTGTTTGTCTACATGTCCAAAATAAATAGTTTAAATATTTCACACTCTGCTGGCATCACTCATCTTATCAGGAAAATCATTAAAAATAAAGGAGGCAGGGCTAGGGATTTAGCTCAGTGATTCTAGTGCCTGCCTCACAGGTGCAAGGTCCTGAGTTCAATCCCCAGTACCAAAATAAATAAATAAATAAATAAATAAATAAATAAATAAATAAATAAGGGAGGCACCAAGACCTCCACAGAGAATGCACACTTCAAAATTCTAGTTTTAACCTGAATATTGACATTTTATCACTAGCAACAACCACTGTTGTTTTTCTGGTTGCTAGCTCACATGCTATGTTTCAAGAAAATATCAAACTGCCCAAGTCCGCTGGTCTTCATTCATGCTGTGAAGTAGAAGCACGGAGTTGTGTGACAAAGCAGGTAGGTCAGCTCTCATTTCTAACAATGCCCCAGTGCTGTCCCTGATTTGTCAAAGCACTTAGTACACCACAAACATGGCATTGACTATTTCATCACACAAAATGATGAAAGGATGCTTGTGCAAGGATCAAGATACAGTAATAGTTTTACTTACTCTTGAAAACCCATTTTTTGGTACTTCAAGTATGTGATGCTTCTCTGCATGGAGTGGTAACCCCTACACAGGGACCACTAGCAACAGTTTGGCGTCATTGACTTTACTGAGTTAAAATGACAGCTGATGTATTTGCAATACCAGTGTAAATGTCAACACAGAAAACCCCCAAACAATATCTTAATATTATCCTGAGAATAATTTTCATCTTTCAGATCATTTGAAATACTCAGATACTCCTGTGACACACAGGCACATCTTAACAAGTGCTGTTTTAGCATTTATAGTTTCAGTGAAAAGAAAACCCAGTTTTCTTTATAGTAGGTAATTTTATTTTTCTCATCTAACTGAGAGACAATAGAACATTAGCATTTGTTTGGGATAAGTAAATAATGGAGGGTCATACTGAGATAGCTTACCAAATATCTTGTAGGATTGGAGGTAAGGGACTATACCAACATAGAGCTATGTTTTATTACCATTTACTAACTCTGAAAGAGCTAACTCCATACAAACCACATAAACCCCAAACCCTTGCCTCATTAAGTCAAAGATGAAATTATGGACAAAAAAGGAGGAAATTGGGCCAGGGATTTAGCTTAGTGGCACCAAGCCTGCCTTGCAAGCACAAGGTCCTAAGTTCAATCTCCAGTACCACACACACACACAAAAAAATGGAAATTAAGAGAGTGCTTATTGAAGTAACAAAAATAGCTCCTGGTTGGGAGGAGTCCTGAGCAGGTTTCTATGTTATCCCTCAGTACAAAATATTTTATGGATAAGCAAAGTTGTTGGCATTATGAATAGAATCTTTTTATGGTGTTTTTAAAAAGTTATTATCAGGAAATCATTTAAGGAATATTTATGAGCAATCATATCTTTTGTTTTAATTTATTTTCTTTCTTCCCTCTTGGGGATGAACCCAGGACTGGGTATGCTAAGTAGGGCTGCTAACACTGAGCTATATCCCCATTCTTTTGTCTCAATTTTAAAATGGTGTCATTTTTTCATTGTATTTATTGACAAATTTGAATAAATATGCCTTGTCTTATTATATGATTAGTTATTTGGTTTTTTCATCAATTGAAATTCTATATATGGAAAATATTTTAAAGCTGACTATTTCATGTTGTCTTGAAAAGTACATGGACATTTTAACTTGATTATTATACTAATGGGTATTTTGATACTGAATCATGCTTGAGTTTCTGGAATTAAACACTGTGTGTTTTAAATGCTTTTTATTATTGTTTTATTTAATTTGTGAATGGTAATGAATTCTCATGTTTCCAAATTTAAAGATACAATTCCCCTTTGTCCTAATTAGATAACCTCCCAGCTCTTCTTCCCAGAGTCTGTTATTTTTTCTATATAGTCAAATACACACAAATATTAATACAACCTAGTTCCTGCTCTCTTTGTAGTAGGAAATTAGACAAGTTAGGTCATTTCTCAGAGTCAAGGGACATCTTTTCTCACTATTCTGTTTCCTAGCAGTCTTTTTCAAAAAGATACAGCAGAAAACAGGCAGATTAGAATGTTATCTTTTAAAATAACATCAATTTCTTTCTCAAAAATCACCCATACTTTGTAGTTCTCTACTTAAAACATGAATTTACTTTAGGTCCTGTCTGATCCAGGCTTTTCTTCAGTCTTTTCTCCCAGATTCTTCTAATCTACACCTGGTCCGGCCAGCAATCTCCTCCACTTCCTTCTGTCCTTCTTTAATTTCCCTTCATTCCTTCCTTTATTCCCCACCACTGCCTCTGTTGTTCGCACAGAATATCTAAATTCAATTTTGAAACATTTAGGAAATATTCTGAGGGGTTTTTGCCATTAATTTGATTTATTAGCATCAGGACCTGTTTCCATGTAGCAGTAAGAAGATCTGACTCGTCACAATCAATCCTGACACAGTGTGGCATTTTATTACCATATTATTAACTTTCACAACTCTGAAAATGTAGCACTGTGTCGTCATTATCCATTATCCATTTCTCATAGAGGACATAAACAATCTCTGACTGGGTGGATATCTGCTTGACCTTAATGGCCTGAGTGGAAGTTTACTCTCTACCTGTACCTTCCCGTCTCCTGCCACAGCACTTGACATTCTCAAATACTCATTGTTATGGGTTGATTGTGTTTCCATGAAATTCATATGTTGAAGCCTGACCCCTAGTATGTCTGAACATGACTGTGTTTAGAAACAGGGCCTTTATGGGCCAGGGATTTAGCTCAGTGGTTCCACTGCCTGCTTCGCAAGCGCAAGGTCCTGAGTTCGATCCCCAGTACCCCCCCCCAAAAAAAGAAGCAGGGCCTTTAAAAGTAAATTAAGTTAAAAATGTAGTTAAGGTGATCCTATTCCAACCTGATTTGTATCCTTATAAAAAGAAATCAGGACACAGAAAACACAAACAGAAGGCAGGAAATAGTGAGAAAACGACCATGCGCAAGTGAAAGAGGAAGGCCACAAGAGAAACCAAACCTGCTGACACCTTGACTTTGAGCACCTAGACTCCAGAATTGTGAGGGGAAAACAATATATATGTATATATATAATATATATAATATAAAAACAGAAATTTATAATAAAGTCTTAATCTTTCCCCATCAAATAAGAACCCTAACTACTAGGTCCTAAAATGCTGTTTCTAAGCAAGTACTTCTAGGATCTAATGCATAATTTTCCATTTATTTATTCTTTCTACTATTAAGATGAATAATTATTGACTATAGTTTTCTTGGCACCGATTTAGACTACTGAAAATGTGTTTGTAAAGAAAACCAAAATGCTGGTATTTATGTGTGCGCCTGGTGAAGTAGTTTTAACAAGGAGTTTATTTTTCTCTCATATAAAAAAAGCTTTGTAGCTAGTACAGCTGACATTCAGGAAACTTTTTCATGTGGTAAGGGATCCTGGGTTCTTCTAGCTGAGTGTTTCTCATCTTTTGATGTCACACATCTTGGATCTTGTGAAGACCCTGTAGAAGATCCTTCCACTTTACACACCTTCCAGGAAGAAAGAAGGAGAGTCGCAGGGCAGTGGGTCCCTGCCAGCTTAGCTAACCATTTCTGGAAGTTCTACCTGACACCTCCCATTTTTATTTCATTTACAGGCATATTACCAGATGGACCCCCCCACACTGATCTGTGAGAGAGGTGGGTGACATAACAGGATTATTATTTTTTAACTTGACTCTGTTGCCATTCAAATCAATATTGGGGCTCTATTAGTAAATGGAACAGAATAGTTATTAAATAACTCATTTGCATTTTTGCCACACTCTTAGTTTGGGGCATATTAGGACTTATACGATGTTTCTGGATCACAGTTATTTATTTTTGTTAAATTATTACATTTAATCCATGTCCCAATTCTGTAGAATTTGCCTCCTAAAACTTTTCCAATGAAATCATAACTACTTCCCCTCCAGACCCAATTAAAAACCCATCTCTGCCCCCAGCACACTTGATACACCCCACAATTCTCATTGTCCTCTGAACTGTGATGACAGTGACCTTGTCAAAGCACAAATTTGGCCACACTAAAGATGAACCCTCATTTTTTCTTAGGATACAGAAAAACTTCCTAGTGTGATGTACTGCATCTTGCACTGTATACTCTTTAGGGAATATTATCTGCACATCCTCAGCGCTGAAGTATCTTAGGCACAACAATCATCAAATCTTCTTCCTTTCTGTTTATTAACTTATTTAAAATACTTCCTCCATTTTAGTCTCCTAAAGGCATGTGATAAGGTTGTGAGAAAACAAATAGGAAAATAAGGCTTAGTGAGTTCTGTGACTCAGTCCATGGATGTTTGGAGAAATCCTGAGAGTGTAGCAGGGGCCAGAAAACTACAGACCAAAGGTCAAATAGAATAGCATCTTCCTTGTATTAATAAATAAACTGGAAAGCAGCCACACTGGTCATTTATGCATTTACCACTGCTCTGTTGGTGCTAAAAGACCAGAGTAGCACAGTAGCAGTAGAAATTGTATGACCTCAAAGTCTAAAATATTTACTCTTTGACCCTTTAAAGAAGGATCAAGCACCAAGAGGAAGAATACTCTCAGGTTTATTGTATCCCAGAACAAAACATTCTGCTGAAACTCAGCCAGCCATGCTGCCTGCTTCCTGACTGAGACTGGTGATCTTTTTTTATATTCTCTGACACTGAGCAGTACTTTTCAGCCCAGCTTCCCACATTTTCTCTTCTGATACATATGGTCTCAAAACAGAGCCTGGGCCACTGCTGAGAAACTCATCAGAAAACCAGAAGATGGGCAGCAGAGGGTTACAAGCCAGTCGTACTAAATTATATGATCCTAGTCTTAATGTAAATATGTGATCTCTTATGGACTTTTATATTTAAATGGATGAAAGATAAGTTTAAATACTTTGAGATCACAAAGATTTTACAGAATGTGGTGCCAGGGACAAATGCCAATGGATCTTGAACACTACTGATCACTAGTGATATTTTTAACAGGTATTCTATTGTCTTTGATAATGTTCCATCAGGACACATCACTCAGCCCAGTAAATTTGCTTCTACCTCTTGAGCATAAGGTGCAAAATTAAGAAGCAGATTTGACACAGAGCATAGAATGTCTTAGTAGGAGGAAGAGCTCCCACTATGGTGATCATTAGTGGGGAAGCTATCACCTCCTCTGTCTTGGTAAGTATATGCACAAGCACAAGGTTCAGGCTCTTTACTGATTCTGGTACAAACAAGCACTTAATGGGGAAATGATTCCCCTTTTTCATCAGGACACTTACAATGAGCACAATGCTACAGATTCTCTGAGCTTTCAGAAGCAGCCAGGTCCCTCAGACTCACCAGCACAGCCTCCCAGCCCAGGGGCTCAGCAGTGTATTTCTGGCCTCTGAGAGGGACTACAGTGAGACGACTGCTGGAAGGAGGTGTACAAAAACCTCACAGTCTCCCTGAGGTAGGCACTGGCTGTAGGGATTTAGGCAGGGAGTCACCATCCCAAAAAGGAAGTTGCTATGGTTGGAGCAGCACAGGTGGTTGGATGGATACATCTATTATGAGAAAAACCTCTCTTCAGACTGTACTTATGATCTGTTAAAGTTTCAGAATCACTAGTACCTTTATGTGTTTATCATTATGTACAATGCTTCAAAACATTTTAATATAAATGATTTAGATGGATATTTGTCAAAAATAATATTAAGTGGTAGAATAAATGATTTAATATAGAAATAATCCATAATCATACTAGCAACCTCTTTTACAAAGAGAATAAATTCCTAATGTTCCTCAAGTTTCCTCTATCTGACTCCTCTCTTTTGTGGCATGATTATTTTCTTTAGAAAGCATCTATGTTATCCCCATTAAGAGTCTACCTAAAGAGTAAGGTAGTCAAGGTGAAAACTTGTTTTGCCCTATCAAATCTCTTACTTTCCCCTTTTCCTTTCCAGTTTTGTTTCTGACCCTGTTGAATCCTTGAAGAAGACAAGGGGTCACAACTAGAATAGCAACTGTTAGGCAACTAACACACAAATGATCTCCTCCAGTGTTTACTCCAGTCTAAATGTATATTTTTTCCCCTCAGGTATTACAACCAGTGCTAAGAAATAAAGATATTTATTTCTTTTGCTCCACACAGTTTTTAAAGGTCTCTTGGTCAGTTTTTCAACATCTAAAAATCACTCAGCACATTAAAATCAGATTTCTTGCTCACCTACAAAAATGGAAAGATCTAGGAATATTGGACCTTATAGTGCAAAAGTCAAAAATTCTGCCTGAACACATAATAACTTTGATGTATATTTATTTCATTTTTAAATTTATGCAAATTTAACGTTCAGTTCAGCCTGAAATAATCTAAATGTAAAATGTTAAAGTGTTAGTGTTCTTGCTTGCTTTGCTGCCTTCTGCCTGCCATAAACTGTTTCTCTTCTACCATGCCTGTCTGCCTGCCATCTTGCCTTGGAGCCAACCAACTATCCACTGAAACCTCTGCAAACTGTGAGCTAAACAAACCTTTCCATCTTTAACTTTTTGGTGTCAGGTATTTGTCTCAACAATGAGAAAAAGTAACTAATACAGAATTTGGTACCAGAGAAGTGGGGTCATTCCTGTGGCAATAATACAGAAATTTTTAAAACCTTTAAGCTTTAAAATGCCCATGCTCTTATTTTACTCCTATTTGCCCAGAAACAAGTGGATTTGCAACCCCTTCCAATAGGTGATACTTTATACTGAAATATAGCCACAATGTAAACCACCACAAATATATCCTGCTAGCCTTAGCATTCACAATGTACATCTTGTCGTGTTCTTTCTGTTAGCCTTAAACTCCTGTAATATATATCCTGCTAACCTTAGCATTCATAATGTATATACTGCCATGTTCTTTCTGTTAGCCCTAACTCTTGTCATATCTATCCTGTTGGCCTCAGTGTTCACAATGTATATCCTGTTATATTATCCCTAAGTGTCCTGTTATGTTATGTGGACAACCTGTTATTAAAGGAAGCCCTGACCTCAAGTCAGTTACACTATCTGCTTATTTGCTAAAAAATTCTGTGTTTGTAAAACCACACATTGCTCATCCCAAGCCCAACCCAACTTAAACTACTGTATAAAACTATACCACTTCTGACATTCTGGGCCCAGACTTTTCTAAAGTGTGAACTTCTCTAGGCCAAGTGGTCAATAAAGCTTTCCTCTACTCCTTTGAGTGACTTTCAGTCTTTCCGAGGTTCAGATTTCCTATAGTAGCTATACCTGACCACATGGTTCAGGAGCCTTTGGGACTGGCTCATGGAAAGAGTTCAGAAAGGTTCAGAGACACTGGTTGAAAAAGCAGAGCTGGAATTCTGTATGTTGTACTGTATGGGAGATTCTGATCAGAGCTCAGAAGACCAGAATGCTGATAGTAAAGGTCCTGGTAAAGACCAATCTCAGGAAGTTTCTGTTAGGAAGAAAGACTGCATTGGCTGTTGGACTTCTGACAATATGTGTTATGGCTTGGCAGAAAGTTTGTCTGCATTTTGCTTATGTTCAGAGACTTTGCCTGAGACTGAGATTAAGGGCAGCAGTCTAATCTTTCAGAAGAAATTTCAAGACAGTCTGATGTTCAAGTGGTGGCATGGCTACTGTTGGGGACTTTTAGCCAGATCTATGTTTAGAATTGAGAGCAAAGTGCCCAGCAGAATGATTTAAAATGTTTTGAGTGTAACCAGACAGGAAGAACCAGTAAAGCTATGGTCTGCTAAGATATAGCAGAGGAGATCTTGATTGCTGAGAAGGAATAATACAGCGGAAAATATGGTCTGAGAACATAAGAACCAGCAAGACTGCATTGGTTTTTTTTATTCAAAATTGCAAAAGTGAAAGATTTTGCTTTGAGAAGAGAGCCCCAGAGCATCATGTTCCAGAAAGGCAGTGGCCTAGGAAAGTTGCTCTTTCACATTTCATTCATAGGTACTGAGTGACTTGTACAGTCAAGAGAAAAGGAAGCCTGGGTAATGTTCCTTCTGGACAATAGACCTTGGTATCATCCATGTAGTGCCGGTTTTAGGTACATGCAGAATGCAAGAGTTGTAGGGTCAGGAAGGCTTTCATCCCAATTTCAGAAGAAGGCCTGGGAGGTCAGGAAGTGTGCCCCTAAGAGAACAATGTGTGAAGCTCTGAGTGTGAAACCAAAGGTGCAGTAGAGTCCCCAGAAGTTTGGAAAAGCCAGGGATGTGTATCATCAGAGGAAAACTGCAAGGAGGGAGCAGAGCTGGCCCCAGGCAGAAGCCATGAGAGCTACAACCACTGGCAGTGCATTAGAGTAAGAGCCAACCAAGCCATTTGGAGAAATTTAGAGAAGATATAATGCCACTCTCCTCAAACTCTTCAATGAAATTGAAAGGAAAACAATACTCTCAAACTCATTCCTGGAAGCAAGGATTACCCTGATATAAAAACCAGAGAAGGATCCAACTGAAAAAGAGAGCAACACATCAATCTCCGTAATGAACATAGATGCAAAACTCCTCAATAAGATACTGGTAAACAGAATGCAGCAAATCATCAAGAAGATTATATACCATGATGGAGTAGGATTCATACCAGGGATCCAGGGATGGTTGAACATATGTAAATCTATAAATGTAATACACTGTATTAACAGAGCCAAG